AAATGCTGTTCATATTAGCATGCTGCATGACGGTAGTATACTCCCATGGTATCGGGTACTTCGGGTCGTGCAGGATAATTAGCGTTAATCGTAGTAGCCCTGTTGAGGGATATCCAGGAATTCCGTGAACTCCTTTGCCTGGGCGCACCTGGAGCTTTCCAACTTGCACCTGCTGGACTGCTAAAGGCGGGGCCTGCTCAAAATTACATGGGGGGTTGTGAAAATTTGTCGCTTTCTTTTTGTCCCATTATAAACCGGCCCTTCATTTCGAATTTGGGAATTCCAGGGGGTGCCGCGGATTTTGAAACTTGCCTTATGGCGTTCCCCAAATTTAGGGTATTTCAAAAGGAACCACAACATCGAAAACCCACCACACGACGTTTCCAAAACTTGGGGCCCCTTTTGAAAGGGTAGTCTAGTATTCGGCCTACATAAGCGGGACTCCCATTTTTGGAACTCTGATATGGGTCCTATCAAGGCGCCACTTCTTCTTTCGTTTGTGTAGTGTTGGGGGTCCCCCAAATCATGGGCCTCTTTTGGAGTGTGCTTTTACTGAAGGACCCGCTCTCCCACAAGGACGCGCCTGTTCTCGGGTGCCTGGTGGGCGTGGCATTGGAAGCGTCTATGCTGGGGCAGTTTTTCGCAAGCCTTCGTGGCCTATATGTGGGACAAGAGCGGCACTGAGCACGGCCTGGAACTTACAGGAGGAGACGCTTCTGGGAGTTAAGTGCAGAAGTGGGTTTCTGCTTTTGGCCATTTCAATCAAGTCACCACACATGATCCTATTTAGTCCTATTACAGCTTACGCTTCCTCGCTTTTGCATACTTACCCAGTCCTACCTTCATGAGGATTCAAATTTTACCACACTCCCCCAAAACCCAAAAGGCTTCACTCCCTGGTACAATCCCTTCAACCCTCGCACCCCTGTGAATCCAGAGAGACTTCAGTCTTTGCCCTGCACGTAACAAGCAGAGTTCCCAACAGCCGGGAAGGTTTTCTAGAGGGCTTTGCAGCAGTTTCAAGCCTTGAGCCTACCCTCAGCACCCTAACTACTGAACCCAAAGTCCCAGACCTCATATTGAATTCGGACCTCAAAGTATACGTCACACAAAGGCCCCAAAAAACAATAGCCACAGTCCGAGCCACAGGCCAAGCTTGACTGACTGAGGGCTCAGGAGCTCAGCTGCATCCAAAACATGGAGATGACGATGTTGGCCATGGAATGAGAAAACCCGTCATGATCTCGCCATTCTCGAGGCATGGGAGCTGAAAGTTTAGGGTTTAGGGTGCAGATAGAGCTGATACATCTCCGTCACGGGTTGGGTTTGGGAGCCTTGGGGCGCTCAGGGTCTGAAGCTTCAAGGTGTAGCTGCTTTTTTTCAGTTGCTCAAGGCTTCGGTTTTCGGAGTTTAGAGAGCACCTTGTTATCAAAATGATGGCTCGTTGTTCCTGATATTTTTGGGTACCCAAAAGGGACCATAATTT